CCTAGTAATTAGCCCGGTTGTTATCTCTAATTAATTACTAATTCAGTTAGACTTGAACACTTTCATCAGATCAGTTGTTGATAAAATAGTTCTTTCGATGAGCAAATTTATTCTTGTGATTAGGTTACAAGTGAGTTTTATGTTCTTTATTTAGAAATTATCGTTTTCTTCATGAAATGTAATAAGAATATCATGAGAATCGAGAATTGAAATCGATGAAAAACAGAAAAAAAAACTTAAATTGAAATAAGTGATCAGGATTTCGATTTGATACTCAAACTAATAACTTCAGAACTGAAGATGCTGATAGTTTGATAAAATTGTAATTTAATATTTAATAAAAATCGATGATGAGAGGAAATGTCAACATTTCCAAAGGTAAAGTGATTATTTTGATGATTAGTTAATTATTTATGTGGTGAACTTAATAAAGTAAACTTGAGAGAGGAATAATTTCCACAAAGTGAGAAGTTTTATTGGGTATCAAAAGTAGTCTTATCGAGTACATTCACTATGAGGTCTCTGAATGAGAGCTCATTTCGAGTTGCATTTTTATACTCTCTTTCGAGGGATAATTTGGTCGATAATTATTCGAGTTCCCAGGGTGAGATCTCAGGTTGAGATCTCAGATTAGTCTCAGGATGAGATTAACATAGGATTAAAAGGTCAAAAAGGGTAGAGATTAGGATTAGGATTAGGATTAGAATTAATTATCAATGAGATCTCTATTTGAGATCTCATGAGATTTGGTTAGAGGCAAAAACGAGGTCTCACTACACCCACTACTTGAACTAATCATCTCGCCTGAGATGAAATTTAATACGTTACATGTGTGTGCTTGTTGGATGACTCCATCACGCATGTATTTCACAGTTTTGGGATCTCATTGAAGGTCACAATTTCGGTTACCTCGAAGGGTCCTTCCGTGATATAACGTTTACCTTGTTTCCCTTTGAAGATCAAAATGTGATCGCTCACTTTGAGATCTCGATTCGAGCTTCGTTTATTTCCATCATAATTTTTCTTCATTTTCTCTCTGTATTGGTTAATTTGTTCCATTGTAAAGGGTTTTTCTGTGAGCTCAATGTTTCGATGTTGAATTTAAAATCAGCCGGCAAGTAATCATCACCAAAAGCTTTGTAAAATGGGCTGCATCCGATCGCTCTACAATAAGATCGATTATGGTGTTTCGCCGCGAGCTCCACGATCTCACTCCAATTTGAGATCTCAGGATAAAGAGCATAAAATAACTTGATCGATTGTACAAATCTTTCGGCCATTCCATTTGACCATGGACTGTAAGGAGAAACGAGCACCTGTTTGAGATCTCTTTTCGAGACCCAATCTTTAAATAAGTTAGAGGTGAAACAGCAGCCATTGTCTGATATAATTTTCTTAACTGAGTCTATGTAAGGATGGTTCTCGAGAAAGTTGATGACACTCTTAGAATCTTCTTTCATTGCCTTGGCTTGTCCTAGTCTGGTCCTTCATCAATTAGAACCAAGAAGCTCTTTGTAGTAGCTCGACCTTCGCCTCTTTTGAGAGCTCACCAAAGTCAAGGTGGATTGTATTCATCATTTCAGTTGAGTGGTTCAGTAATACCAGTAAGTCGGTTCTATTTTTGAATTTTGCTTTTACCTTGACAAACTGTAGGATCGAACGTATTCAATGATGTCTTTTTCATGTTGTTCCAAGTGAAACAGGCTGAGATCTTGTGAAAGGTTCGTGAGATACCATCGTGACCACCAGAATAAGGATCGTCGTGATAACTGCTGAGCACCGATTTGATACATTCAGGTGAGATCTCAATTTGAGGTCTCAACTTGGTTTCGATATTGTTGATAGTTACGTTCGGAATGAGCCATGAAATGGCATCTGCATCTGTTAGTTCTTTCCAGACTTGTGATTGATTTTCATGAGAAAGACATAAAAAGGTTTATACCCACCGAGCCTCCCTACTCCTTTGTCCATAAGGAATGTGAGGCTCGGTGATCGGAATTGACGATGAATTCTCTTCCTTCGAGATATGAGCGAAAGTATTGTATTGCCTGATTACCGCCAAACATTCTTTATCAGTGGTACAGTAGTTCAATTCTGCGAGTTAAAGGTATACGAGTGGTAACCAATGACTCTGAGCTGTTTATTTCTACTCAATTTGAGATCTCTTTGATAGAATAGCTCAGTTCCACAATTAGAGGCATCACAACTGAGCTCGAAGGTGAGATCCCAATCTGGGATTTGGAGAATGGGGTTTTGTGTTATCATTTCAACTAGTTTTAAATAGGCATCATCACACTCTTGGCTCCAGATAAAAGGTTGATCTTTTTTCTTCAAGGAATCCAAAGGTCGAACAATCTTACCATAGTCAGGAATGAATGCACGAAAATGACTTGTAAGTCCGGTGAAGCAACGAAGAATGGAGATCCCAAGGTTTTTCATTGTTTTAACCTTTATAACTGACTCTTCGAGTAGTTTTAGTTTGCCCATCGAGCACCCTTCCGAGGAACACAATTGAGCTCTCATTTAGGGAACTCTTTTTTTCATTGATTGTCATCTTGGCTTGATTTAAACGGCTCATAACCATTCCAGTCAGGTAACCACATTCCTCCTCAGAACGACCAGCGATACAGATGTCGTCAACATAGACATGAACCTTGCCGCTCGATGTGAGATCTCCAAGTATCTTCGTAATTGTCCTCTGGAATATTGCTGGAGAGTTTTTCCAACCGAAAGGCAAGCGAAGCATCTCGTAGTGTCCGAAAGGTAACACGAAAGCGCTGTACTTCCTTGTACTTTCAGATAACTTTATCTGCCAGAATCCATCTTTGAGGTCTATTTTTGAGAAGTGAGTTGAGCCTCCGAATGAGCTTATAATGTCATCAATTATTGGGAATGGAAATGGGTCTAATTTGGTGATTTTATTTATGTCTCTGTAGTCTTGACACAACCGATACTCGCCGTTCTCTTTCGGGACGATCACACAGGGGCTAGCATATTCACTTGTTGAGTCACAAATAATGTTGCTCATTTTGATCTCTAATCTTTGCTGAGCCCAAAGGTATCTTTCTCGTGATAACCTGTAAGGTTTTCACTATGGTTGAGAGATCAATTAAAATCGGACACGTGAAGAGGCTCACATTTCGGCACATTGAACAGATCAGGGTACTTGTTTTTGACTCCATTGAGGTCACGATTTGAGGCTCATCGATGGCATTCACTTGAGGACACTTTCACAAGAGCGTAACAAAGGCCTTGAGTCCTGGTTTACCGAGGATTAAATCATAGTTGCACTTATCTAAAACGAATGCCGAGATGTCACATTGAGATTCATCAAGTTTGACCTCAAATTGAGATCTCATTTTATGTTCAAGTAAAGACCATCAAAACCATGTATAATTTGTGAAGTTTCTTGTTTAGGCAAACCTTGTTCGTCAATAACTTTCGATGAGATCACATTACTTTGGCACCATTGTTCAGTAAAGATGTAACTTTTCGTTCCAATAGTAACCTGTTTCACATCTTCGTCCTCATATGGAGCTCACCATCACTAATAGAGAAAACATCACTTATTGTGAGGTAATTATCACGATCGTCTCGTTTCTTGTCAGAACGAGGTTTACTATTAGAGTCTCGATTTGAGATCTCATCACTTCTTTTAGTTTAGTTGGTTTTAAACTGCATAAGTTTTCGTAGGTCTTCCTTTGATGAGAGCTCAACTGACGCTGTTTCTGTAGATCATTCAGACCAAGAAGCACAAGGGTAATAAAGTTATTGTTGATATTGGAATGCAAGTTGAAGTAGACGTTGTTTTCATAATAAAATTCGAGTAGTGTTCCTCCGCGATACTCCCATGATAAAGCTGATTGTGTTGGGTGACTTATTTTGCCCAAATGCATCAATAAAGGCTCCATTCGAGTTACATGAGGATCTTCTTAATGAGTCTCGAGTTGAACCATTGAGGCAACACCTTCTAGACATGACTTAAGATGATTGATCTTTGAGTCAGATGACCATCCATTTATACATGCTTTCATAAGAGAGCAACCATGTCTTAGGGTCTTCTTGTTTTCCATTGAACTTTAGATCTCCATCCGAGCAGATTTATTGTACAAAGCTAATCACGGCATTTTGGAAGGTTTCGAGCATTTTTGAAATGTTTCATTGAAACTGCATCATCTGTTGTAAGCTATTTGTTGAGATCTCAGTTCGAGCACTCATTACGTTCTGGGTCTACCATGATGTCTTCGTCATCTTGATTGCTGAGGGAACCAGAACTGAACACATCACTTAAATAAGGGCCTGCTTCACTAGCAGACATATACACTGACACTGTTCGTTACGGTCATTTCGGTGAGGCAGCCTGATTGGTGGTTTCTCTTGAGAGTCTCATGTTGAGCCAAATTTTGATGTTCATTCTAACGAGTCCATTCAAACGAGTTGTGAAGACAATATTTGAACCAAGATTTCGTCGTCTTTTTTCACAAGAGTGAATTTAAACTTAAAATTATTAGGTGGATACATCCTGTCGACTGTACAAAACTGTGGTGAACTTAATAAAAAACTTGAGAGAGGAATAATTTCACAAAGTGAGAAGTTTTATTGGGTATCAAAAGTTCTTATCGAGCACATTCACTTGAGGTCTCTGAATGAGAGCTCATTTGAGTTGTATTTATACTCTCTTCGAGGGATAATTTGGTCGATAATTATTCGAGTTCCAGGGTGAGATCTCAGGTTGAGATCTCAGATTAGGTCTTCAGAGATTAACATAGAAAGGATTAAAAGGTCAAAAAAGGTAGAGAGATTAGGATTAGGATTAGATTAGAATTAATTATCAATGGTGAGATCTAATTTGAGATCTCATGAAAGATTTGGTTAGAGGTAAAATGAGTCTCACTACAATTTACAGTTGAAAAAATAATCAAAGTGATAACATTTACTGATTTAAGTTTATATTAATTTAGTAATTAATATATAAATTTAAAGGTAAAGATGATGTTCCGATAAAGATTTAACTTGATTTTGATTGTCAATTATTTTTTAAGGCTTTGGACTTGAAAATTAAATTGACATTTGATCGGAGATGTTGTTGATTATAATCAACAATTAAAATTAAAGTAGTGAAGTGAATTAACAAGATAAGGTAACCAAAGACATAGAAAGATGACAAAATCAAGGTGGAAAAGAAGAAGAGAAAAGGTAATAAAAATCTCACCATTTCAACATCTTTAATCGAGAGATTTTGGTACCAATGTTGATGAGAATCATGATAACGGAAGAAGAGGATGATGATGATGAAAGAAAGTGCTGAAGAAAGATGAAACTAAGACCTCCACCGATGGTGATCATCATCCTGTTCATGATGATGATCAAGCCAAGAATAAGACAGACTTGTAAAACCCCCTGGAGCCTCTGATTTTATTACCATTAAAATTTTATGTTTCAAATGATGATTTCTGATCATTGATGATGATGATTGACTCAATGTTAGCCTGAAGAAAGAAAGAAAGAAAGAGAAAGATAATTTAGAGGAGTGACCGATAGGATGAGGAAGATGATGAACATTTATGAGGGAGTAAACTGTGACCATGACGAAATTGATAAAATATAGTGAAAAAGGAGTTGGTCAGTGAGAGAGAGAGAGAGAGAGAGAGAGAGAAAAGTGGAAAATCATACAAAGGTAAAGATGATGTCAAAAATTAGAACTCAAGGAAAAGCACCATGAAAACGATAGAAGAACAACTTACCAATGAGAATATATTTTATTACTGATAGAAGAATTATTTTGACTATGATAGACTCATGAGTATCTATTAAATAATATCATAAATTTGATTACAAATTGAGATCTCAGAATGGGGTCTAATAATCAAGTAACTCATGGGCCACGAGAGAGAGAGAGAGAGAGATTATTACAAGGGATAGATGATGATACTAAAATAGAGGTAAATTAGAAAAGAAAATTGAAAAAAGCGAAATTAGCTGAGCACAAAATACTAATATAAGTGATGGTAGTATATTAATAACAGTTAATTACTATTTGGTTGCCATCTTTTCAACTGAGAACCAGGGTAACCTTTTGATTGATTTGAGAATGATTCCAACGTGAGTTGATCAAAATCCATAGACAATTAAATTATTACTCTTATCATAGTTAATATAGTAAATATGTTTACCTGTGAAGAAATGGAGAGAGAAACTTAAAGGTAATAATTTAAGTTACTAAATATGTGATACTGTTAATAAGGAGAAACAAATTACCATAACGAACATGAAAATATAACATTAATCTTCAACTAGCAACCATAATATATCCTAATGTGTTTATCGCAGTGCATGTAATAAGTTGTGTATTTGTATTTCATGGTTAATAAGCTATGTGATTGTTGATTATCATGTTTTGACAGGTCAAACACTTTGAGGCTCCCTGATGAATATATATACATGTGAATAGTAACAGGAAACAGTATATCAATTCTGTGAGATGAGAGAGAGAAAAGTGAAATTGAACAAATTCAATTTTCACCTGTAACTCACCCGACAGGGAATATGAACTTACCTTTATTTTTGATGGTAATTCTTTCACCATTTTAAATGGTAGACCAGTAATTAGAATATGAATATTAATATCACTCGAAGTGTGGAAGAAAAAAATTAGCTACAAATTTAATTAACTGCTAATCACCAAACGCCACTTACTAGAAGCGGAAACGACTCAGCATTTAAATTTATTCAAATGGTTCAACTTGGACCATGTTGAATTTCATGGTGATGATAAAATACTCGACATAATTTACATTGTAATACTTATGAACAAAAAAACGTTCAAATGACAGTAATTCACCTGAAAACGTATTAATATGTGTTGGGAAGTTTAGTTAACTATTGAATCAATATTCACCACTTTTTCTTTAACCTTCATTAACCTTGAGTATCTTTTATATTCTCATTCTTATATTTTGTGTATTTACTCAGAACTTTAATTCGAATGTCTGATGATTTCTATTTACTTTCACATTTAGTTAACCAAGTTTTGTGACGACCTTTTGTATACTGTTCAATAGATTGTTAGATCGCTGTCACAGAATGATTATTTATACTGATTCTAAAAAAGTTCAATGTTATTCCAGAGCTTCATGATTCGCTTCTGATAATAATTGGAATAGTCTACGAAACAAAGTCTTTCAGATGATATTGAGACTAATTCACATCTATTTGCATACACAAACCTTAGAAGAGCATTGGTGACAAATACTCAGTATTCATCTCTTGAAACGCTTCTTCTTTTTCAGAACTAAGCCAAAGTGTGTCATCTGAATATTGACTGAAAGAGCAGCTACAAATATAAGAATTTGAATATGGTTAAAGTTCATGGTGAGATAATTGCTGTTGGTGAATATTGATGAAAATTCTGTTGAAAAAGTTCAGTAGGACAAACAATAAATAAACAATAACTTCACTTTGAATTTCTGATGATTTTTGTCAACTTAATTTAATTATCAGTTGATAGAGACAAAATTAAGATACAATTTTTTCCTTGACAATTTTTATTTTCTCTTTTTTTAATTTCTCAATTAACTTCTCGCTCATCTAAATCAGTTAATTGTGACAAGGTAATTTAGAAGAAGAAACAAACAAATCAAAACTTCTAATCAAGAATCAACTATATCACCATGGGGGTAAAATTGAAAAACATTGATAAAGATAATCAACCGAATCAACCAAAAAAAAGTCTAATCACAATTAACTAACTAAATCAGAAAGCAAAATCTAAAGGTTAAATCAATTAGATGATTAACCATGAAAACTAATGAAAATAAATCAATCTAAAAACAACCAGAACAATCAAACAGTGATTAACTTTGATTAAACAATTTTCATCTTGAAAAGTTAACCAGCAACAATTAAGACACAAAAAGCGTAACTAAATCAACTAATTGTTGTTTAATATTGATTGAAACTCTGAAAAGCTATTAATAAAATGAAATTTAATATAAATATAAATTGTTAACTTGTTGATTAGTTAATCAATTGAGGCCAAAAATGAAAAGAAAAAGAAAACTGAATCAAAATTGAAAATCGGAATCAAATGAGTCACAATCAGTTGATTTTAAACATGAAAATCAAGACTTGGGGCGATTTTAATCAAAAGCTAATCAGACGCGTGTGATAATTAAAGACTGGAACGAGTGATTAACGTTAAATCAATTGAATTAAGAAAAAAAGTTTAATAGTAGTTAAGATAAACATCTGATTCTTATTTATTATTATCCAGAGTAGGAAGAAGTTGAGTAAAGAAAACAGGTTAATTCATTTCGAAAGGAAAAAAAAACTTATGAATGAACTTTTCCTCTTTTTTTATATTCTTATCATCATGATCACTACCATCGCCATCATCATCGTCATCATTATTACTCCAACTTCATGATAAGTTACGATAAAATAGTGAGTGGGCTGATTTTGGGTGGGATTTTTGTCTTTCTTTTTTTACTATTACTTTTTATGAATGAAACTTATCATCCATTCAGGAGTAACCTCTTTTTTTTCAACCTCATCATGATCATCATCTTAATCATCTTGGTCTTAATCTTTATCTTTTATTTTACCTGGATATTGAAATCTTACACCTACTTAAATGGATAGTTGAATGGATTTGAAAAGACTCAGATTAGGATTAGTAAAGACAAATATCTTCCTCATCTTCTGAGTCATCATCTTATTTATCATCTAATTGTTTTTGATTGTTTACTTATCATCATAACACTATCCCTTGTTCATTGGCTTTAATTATATACTATGGTATAATCTTAATCCATGTAAATCCTTATCCATCCTTGTGGATATGAGGAAGTTTTTTTGTTCCGACAATTGATCGTCAGTTAATTAGTTGCCTTTTGATTGTTTTTAATTTAATTACTTGATTACACCTTGAAATTAACTGTGAAACAGCTTAATGACTGATTGGTTTAAAGTTAATATTATTTTGTGATTAAAAGTGTTGCTAAATTGTGATTAGTAAATTGTATGATTTAAGCTAGTGAGTGAGAGAGAGAGAGAGTTAATTAATTGCCTGCAAGGCTTAAAATCATAATAATAATCGAGGTAAATAACTGGATTAATAAATTGTTATAAATTAATTTGTCTTGACATTTAATGAAATCAAGTTTTCCCATTGAATTAAAAGGTAATATATTTTGATTTTTCAGGACAATTAGTCAATGGATTAACATTAATCAACCTTAACTAACATCAATAATTATAATCCAATCGAATCACCATAATAACAATTAGTAGACAATCAAATTTTACAAATACAAAACCACCAACACGAGACAATAATCAATAGTCTCTATTGTCAATCGTTTGTTAATCCAATTCTAAGGGTGGAGACTGTAAAAAAGTAAATTACGATTAACTAACTAACCTCTTAAATTGATTAACGTTGAACAATTTAACAACAACAATAATAATAATCTATTATAAACCATCTATCATGAGAGATTAGGAGTTTTCTCATCTTCATCTTCATCCCCAACATTCAACCTACAACTTACAAGTTGTACTAACATGAATCTCTCACCCAAGCACAAAAGCATCATCATCATCATCATCATCTTCATCGTCCTCTTATCATCCTAGGATCATGATGATGATCATCATCTCCTCCTCTACTCGGTGGGGAGGTTGTCATTGAAAACCCGCAGCAAGACCTTGTTTGTTTACATACTCGATGAAAATGGCCTCAAATGGTTTCTTTTTTTTTCGGTGACTTTTTTTTTCTTACTTTCGGACTCACGCCTTGGGTGGAAATGATTACAAATTATATTATATTCAGGTAACCAAATGATGATGATGATGATACTTGCATGGTGGCATCATGGGGATGATGATGATGATGATGCGGGATGAAAAGGGATGATGACGAGGAAGATGATGATCAGGGTGTGATTCACTTGCTTGTGAAATGTCAAATTTCATTTCTCTCAACATGAGATAACTTGAAAAGCTTCAGGATTAACCATTTAAAATCATCATTCACTGTTTGGTGCCTGGTCAATGGTTTTTAATTTTATTATAATTTAATGACAAGAAAATTTAATTTTCATTATGATTAGTTGATTTACCATCATCATTATAATAGTTTCCTATGGATTTCATAAAGTTAATCCTAAATCTTTTAATCTTATTGGAGTAGTTTGATTTTTCCGAGAAAAATTTCCCATCTCTTGCTAATGATAAACAACTTTCACCTTTTTTCATTAAATCCTACAATTAAATTAGTTAATCACATCAAATTTGTACCTGATAAGTTAATTACAATCACTGGACACACACAGACACAGCATCCAAATAACACTTGAACAAATTTAAATTAAATTGTCCACTTGAAAAATCAAAAATCAACTCAAGAAATTATTTGCTATTCTTAATTTAATCAATTGCTTTTGATTGTTTATAATCAACAGTAATTAATTTGGACTTTTAATAAGTTAATGCTTATAAGTAACGGATGTAACAATTAACTGGTGGTTGATGATTAATCAAGAAGCAATTGTAACTAATATAAAACACACCTCTTGAGTTAAAAGGCATCAAATTATTAGAATTAAATTTGATCACAATTAAGATTATTATGTATTCCCAACAGGGGATCATTACTTAATTTAGATCACTCTCCCTCCACCTCCACCACACTCACTTCACTCCCTCGTCATCATAATCATCATTATTGAACTGACCATTGGCCAAAGGGGAAATGAACAAAACGATACTGACCTAAGGTAATCAAAATATGATTAAAAGTTAATCATTTATGTAATCTAATTGTGAAAGGGAACATTTGAAAAACTGTTACAAGTTTTGTGTGGCTAACAATTAACATTTATGATTACAATTAACCTTTGCGGTAGGTTGATCATCATCTAATGGCCACTTGAATAGGTTGGTCAGTTCAAGAAATTAAAGTTTATTAGTGTTAAACACTTTGCCTTTTACCTTACCTTAATTTTTCATCCTCATCATCTGATGATCATCATCACAATTTAATTTGTAATTGTTACCATGATTGTAATATGATTCAATTAACTCCACCAACTTCAACCCACCTTAAGTTTATCCTCCTACATCTTACAATCAACTTTGATTGTTTATAAGCTGAAACGAGAGTGAAATATAATATACAATTTACAATTAGTTAATTGCTGAATTATCATCGAGAAAATAAATGAAAATGTTACCATCAATTGATTACCAGTAATTAATATGATTTTCCAGGTAACAATTAACTTTTCTACCTTACAATTAAAATTTTACCATTAATTGTCTACTGTCAATTCTTAATTGTTGATTGTCGCAAGTTGTTTTAATTGTAACCTTTAACCACTAATTAACCAAATGTGACAATCAATGATTCAACTGATTTTTGATTAATTGTCTTTATTTCAGCTTATCAAGTATTAAATTTAATGACCTCAAGTGACCTTGGTGTGTTTAATTTAATTACAATAATATTGTTAACTAATTATACTCAAGCAATAAGATTTGATTGTTGATTAAATTAAATCTATTATGAATGAAATTTTGAAACAATTAACTTTTCTGACATAGATAAATGTTCAATATTTGTTAATATATTAATGAAATTATAATTTAGACACTTAATTGTGAAAATGGAAACTTGAAATTAATTTTTTCTTTGTCAATTCAATGAACCAAATTAACAATCAAAATTAGCAATCATTGGATCCTCATCAAAACTAATCACTTTAATCAACTAACCAACAAAAACCACACCTAATCAACTAATCACAATCAAAGTGTCATCATCTAAAAACCAATTAACCAAACTA